GAAGAGCGTGCAGTGGTGTGAGCGAGAGAATGAAGAGGTTTGTGTGTTATGGAAAAGGTGTGAGTGACTCTGACTACTGACTAGGGTTTTGGTTGAGTGGTGTGAGTCAAAAATATCTTTAACTTTACCATTTCTCGTTTCACTTTTCCTTCGCAAAAGGCAGAATACAGAAAGTGAGATGGGAATCAACCAACGGTTACGATTTCAAGTTATGTTCTCTGTGACTGTGATGGGTGCGCCTCACCTGCACCTCATATTCCATCAGACATTCCATTTTCATTTCATTTACCTTTGGATTTCTAAATACAAACCCTTCAAAGTTTAAATGCAGATTTTTTAGTAAACATTTGTTAAGTTTCTTCCTCTCCAAACCAAAAAGAAAATTATGTCATGCCACAAACCATATCATATATCAATATAAAAAACTATGTAATTGAAAAAAAAATTATATTTTTTTCTTTTTATTTTTAAAATTCAATTTAATTTTTTAATTTCTTAAAAATATTTAATATTATCTTTCCTTTTTTAAATTGACACATTAATAAAATTGAACGGAGGAAAACATTAAATATTATTTAAAAATTAAATTATTTTAAAAAATGAGATCAAATTAAATGATTAAATTAAATAAAAATTATCTAACATTTTATTATCTCAATAAATTTAAAATTTTATTTTATTTATTTAGCAGTTTTTTATCAAATAATTCCTTCATTTTATGATTTTTTTTTTTAATTTTAACTACTCAATTTGTTGTTATTCATGATTTTATTAAAGTAAGTAATAGAGTACTCAAATTTATTTAGACAAATCTCAAGCGTGTAGTTCAATAGTAGGGGTTGATCCACGCTTAAGTAAGGTCAGGGGTTCGAATTAACGCGGCCAGCTATCTCACCCTTTGAGATACCTCCAACGTAGTGACTCCAAGAACGAACCAACAAAAAAAAAATTCAATTTGATTCTGTCATTTTAAAAATATTCAATTTAGTCCTTAATTTTTAAAAAATATTCGTTATTGTCTTTTCATTTAATTTTATTAATATCATTAATATTAATTTAGATAAAAGATAATATTAGACATTTTTAAAATTAAAGAATCAAATTAAATATTTTAAAAATGATAAAATTTAATTAAATTTTAAAAAATAAAGAAGAAAAAATATAATTTAACTTTTAAAAAATAGATAAAATTTAAAAAAATATATACTTCACGGGTGTGGCTCCCACGTTAAGTTTGTGGAGTACAATCCCAATTGGATTTCTAAATAATATACTATTTATTATTTTTTATTAAATATTGGTATTATAGAAAAATTGTCATAAGATATCATATCGTGATGTAATATTTTTTTTTCCGTCAAAATTTCATTAAATTATTATTTTTAATTTAAAATATATAATTTTATAACTATTTTTTAGGTTTAAATATGTTTTTAATCTCTCAAATTTAAGGTAAATTTATTTTTATCCCTCAAATTTAAAATTATTGTTTTTAGTCCCTGTAATTTCAAAAAAAAAAATATTTTTGCTCTTATATTCAAATTTTGTTAAGAAATTTATCAAATATTATTGTATAAAAGTTGTTTACCGATGTCCTTAATAGTGAAAACATCACATTAAATCTCATTGATATTGCATAACTGTTTTAATTTGTCACTTTCAGATATATTATTAGTGATTTGAGGAACTAAAACAAAATTTTTGAAAGTTATAAAGATTAAAAATAACCATTTTAAATTTGAGGAACCAAAAATAAATTTGTCTTAAATTCGTTGAACTAAAAACATATTTAAGTCTATTTTTATATTTTAATCATTTTTTTAGAGAATATTAATTTATTTATAAATATCTAATCCATAAATTAAGGATCAAAAGATATATTGATTTTAAAAAATTAAAGATGAATATCAAATGATTATGTTGTATTTGTTTAATTACGATGGTTTTTTTTTCTAAATGTTGTTGTGTACATTTTTTTTTATATAAATACAAGTTTGTTACGTGGTTATGTGTAATGGAAGACTATTTTGATGTCGTAGCATCACACGTGTCATTTTGTTAATTAGGATAAGTTTGATTACTTAGAAAACAAATCTACTTGAAAGTGACCTGAATAGATAGATCTATTGATAGTTGAAATTTTGAAGAAAATTAGATATCATTTTATGTCAGAATAATGGTATTTTATTGGAGGGGGGGGGGGGGGGGGAATTTTTAATAAGGGGTTAAAGAAATTAATTGATGACAAAAGTACAGTGTAAATGATAAACATATCAAAGTTATATTGAAAATTTTATTTAATCATCTTGCATCCGCTGTCAAAAGCAAAAATAATATAAGAGTTGGTTGACAAAGTTAAAGTTAATGAGCTCAGTGTGATCTGATAAAAAAATTGGATTACTTTAGATAATATTGAGGAAATAAATGTTACTAATGAGTGCTGAGGGTAAATCTGCATGATCAAAAAGATAGTTTTATTTGATAGAAATGTGAGCAACAAATAAATAAAAGATTCTTGCATACGAATAAATTATTCTATTAAAAAAAAGACTTGACAAAAGAATTATTTATAGCTTATTTAAGATTAAAGGGATAAGATGGTGAAAAATCAATAGGATAAAAATAATAAAATTATTAATTTATTTTCTTTTAGTGTCCTCTAAATTTCTACACTCATTTAAAATAAAAATATTTTATGAGTGTAATGTCTATTTTTTTATAAGAGTAAATTGCTTTATTTAAATATATGTAAGTTAAAAAAAAAACTATGTGACAATTACTCTCATTCCTCGTAGTGTGGGTCCTCTCATACCAACACACAATATACATATACATGATCAAAGGTTAAAAATTAAAATAAAAAATTGAAAAATAACCTACACTAGTAAACTAAATTATGACATATTTAATGAATAAAAATAATAATAAATATTTTAGTAAAAAAATACAGTATATTATAACAATAAAAATTAAGGAGGATCTACTTATTCCAAAAATAAAATTTGATAAACTTATTTAACTCAATAATTCATATTTTATATCAAATATTCAACCGTTCAATTAAAAGTATTTAATGTATAGATCAAATTTTAAAAAAAATTAAAAAATTAAAAATATTTATTTGATACTCCACTTCATTAATTTAAGTTGATGGATAATAAAAAAAATATATGTTATTTTGAATCTATCTAACAAAATATCATATGATTTTTAATTTTTTAAAAAATTTATAAATTTGATCTATACATGAAATTTTTTAATTTAACAATTAAATTTTAAAAAATTTGATATAAAACATTAATTGTTGAGTAGAATAAATCTACCAAGACTTATTCTTGAAGTAAATAAATTTTTTCTTCATAAAAAATTAAGATAATTTTGTCACAAAATAAAAATAATTAAACAATAAAATATAATATAAAAGAATATTAATATAATTATTATATTAGATATAACAGGATAGGAGGGAGGTAAGCAAAATTCTCCTTAACCCAATTTTAGCTTTGTTAGAGGGAATGAGAGAATTTATAAAATATTTGTAGTATAAAATTTAAAATATCCTTACTTTTTTATAGAAATTTTAAATTATAAAAAATATAAAAATAAATTAATTTTTAAAAATTTTCTCTCTTCTTATAAATCAAATGAGCAAAAAGTTACCTCTCCTCTCCCGACTCTTTCGCAGCTTTTTTTTTTTTTTTTTTTTTTTTTTTTTTTTTATAAAAATTCCTCCCTCTCCTTCTCTTTCCCCTAAAAATAAATTGTTTGTTTTTCCCTTGTCTAAAATTGAAGATCATTATTTTTTTTATCATTATTACTATTATGTAATACTTGTTAATTATTTATGTTGCACTTCTTAAAAAAAATTAAGGTGTCTAAAATAAGTATTATTAATATCTTAAAACGTAGTAATTTAAAATTTTGAAGGAACAAATAAAAGAAAATAATTTTACAATAATAAAATCAAAATTTGTTGATTTTCAATGATAAAAAACAATGGTTTTGAATTTTAAAAAGATGGAAAATAAAAATTTGCAATAAAAAATAAAAATATTACTAAAAACATATTTATATTTTTAACAAATTAATTTTTGTTAGACAATGACTATAAATAATTCTAGTGTATAAATGTTTGTTTGTTGATACTACCCCTATTCCTTTTTAAGCATTGATTTTATATATAAACCAAAAAATATAATAATTTTTTTTTTCTATGAAATAGTTTTGAAGTTTTTTTTATTGTTTTATTTTTTTATTTTTACTTAACAATAAATACAAATTAGTTGTATACGTGTAAATTAATTTAAAATTAAAGATATAAATAAAAAGTAATTAATATTATCTTAAACTATAAAAATGATAGATAACTGAAAACATTTTTTTTTAAATTGACAATTAATAAGAAATAATGGGAGTAAATGATAATTTTTAGTCAATTTTTTAATTTTAATAATAATATATATTTAAAAATTTATATAGTTTTAGTTTTATATTTATATTTTATTTGAATTTGAAAAACATTTACATTATATAAGAAAAAGATTATAAGACAATAAAAAAATAAAATTTAAATATATTTTTAGTTTATGCAAAATATGTGAATTTTAATTCTCTAAAATTGAAAATAATTATGTTAGTCCTATGACTACTATTATATGTAACTCATTAACTACTTATACGTCAAATAAAATATTAAACGGCTAACTTAAGTGATGCATACTAGTGTATGAAATACTATGTAATATTTTTATTTATTTTTAAATATTTAAAATAAATATTATTTACCTATCTTCAAATAAACATCAGAGACTAAAATTAGTTATTTCAAATTTTGTAAGGATGAAAATCAAACATAAATATTTTACAACAATTAAAACTAAATGTTTTTCCTTCTAAAGGGATCAATAACACTAATTTTTAATTTTAAAAAGATAAAAATAATTAAAAATTATAAAGACGAAACTCAATTTTATTTTATTTTATTTTTTACATTTTAAGTCTAGATATAAATTAGGCTTCTTCTACTTCTGCCACTATTTCATCTCAGGCCGACAGGGCCCAAACCCAAGTTATCCAACAAATATTGAGTGTATCCCTGTCAATGGTTATATATTTATTGCGTCCCTGTAATACAAAGAAAATAAATTATTGGCTCCTATCGTGTGAGATTGAAATTATTTGTTTTGTTTTTAATTTCAGTCTCCATCACTTTTGTTAAAATGATACATCATAATTTTTAAAGATTGATATTTTCTCTTTTAATATTTATTTTTTCACCTGGTAATTTTGTGTTAAAGAAAAAAAAATTAAAAAAACAAGTATATTGTTTCCTGTCAATTAAATACTGTTTGTATTTAAAGCGTAAACAATTAATTCTTAATTAAGTTTATTCTATTTTGTGTTGAACTTTGATTTTTATATGAAAAAGAATAACAATCAGCAAACCGTTGAGTTTAGATTGAGGACTTCCCAGTTTCTGATGCACAGGCTAATTAATGCCTATCATTTTGATTAATAAACCTTGTCACTTTATTAAGAAATAAATAAATAAAATAATTGTTTGAATTTTGAAAGCAATTTTTGTTGTTTTCTGCAGAAAAGTTGTTACAATTATTCGCTTTGATAACTTTTTTAAGATAAGTAAAATTATAGTTTTTTTTATTAAAAATATAAATTTATTTTATAATTAACTAAATTTTTTCCATTTTATCTTTAATAATGAGTTATTTTAAATATAAAACTGATTATTATAAATAATTAATTTTTTTTATATCTTTTTGTAACTTTACTAAACAAATATTTTTTCACATAATTAAAAATATCTTAAAATAACATTTTTATCTAATATATATAAATATCAAGTTCATTGCATGATTAGTTACAATAACTACTTATAACTTTTATTGACATATCTTTTCTTAACTAATATATACAAATATGTGAATTAAAGTATTTTTGATAAAAGAAATTAAGAAGCATTTTTATAATGATTTCTCCCCTGCCTGCCAAATACTCAGAATTTGAGACTTTATAATGCTGTTTGAGGAGTGGAGGTGGATGTTAGCATTATAGTATATACTATATAAAACAATCCAAATGCTCTTTGGACATAGATAATTTTTCTGGTTATGCAGATGTAACAGTCAACCACCTAGAAGTTAGATAACTCATGGTTAGTTAATGTTGAATGTTGATGCTGAATCTGCATGCATGCTTTCTGTGTTGTGATGGCTACATATTGTTGTTGTGCACGATGTCACACGCCCAAGTTTCTGCCTACATATGATTCTCCAAAATTTTGTGGTGCCTGTCATTGTGATTGTGACTGTCACTGTTCCACAAAGTTGGCAATTGGAGAATGGAGATAAATGGGTTTCCGCAAAAGCATGCTCATGTTGGATCTCCAAAACAGTGACTCGGTGTAGTGTATGTAGCTACATTGCTCAGACCAGAATTGGTTCGTTTTAACTTTATATATATTCATTTATGTATTTAGTATGTTGATTATGGTTCTCAATTTTTTACTTGCATTTTTTTTTATATTTCATTTATTATCACATTTTTCGTTCATGCCATTTCTATCATTATTCTGGCTAAAATTGCATTATTTTAACATGAAAATTTGACATTACAAATGCACTTATAAAATCTACCTTAAAAATTAAAGACAGGACTTTTTGTTGTTGTCTGAGAAACATTTTCTCTTTTATGGCTCGTTTAGTCCACTAAGGTTGTCTATGCTACTCAGAGAAAGCCTTGCATTTTAATGCGCTGAGGTCTGGTTCATTAAGATGCATTGATTATTTTTTGAACTCAAAATGCCAGCAAACATATACTGAACCATTTTATTTTTTTTGAAAAGTGAAACCCAGATCACTCTTTTAAAGTTATTGATTGTTCTAGTTATTTGCAGGCTATGTTCCGTATTTGAAATACTAAGAATTAAATTAAGATGGTAAAGATTCATCCAACTCCAACAAATGTCATTACAATGATTCGGCTAACACTATAGCCAATGTGTGCTTTTTACCTTAAATTATGGAAGATCATATTCCTGGGATGAGAAAGAAGCCATGTGGAATTTATAACCCTTCAAGTGGGGTGCTATCTTTTTTCTGTATACCGCATTATAAGCCTAAGTTATTGTGGTAGTAATGGCTAACTGCCAAAAAAGTCAAACAACCCTATTCAGAAAATCCTCAAAGCAAAGTTTTCACAACAAAATAAAGAGAAAGTGACCAATGACAACATGTGTATGTGCCATGTTACTTTACAAGACGTCTGATCTCATCCAGATTTCAAGACCCAATAGGGTGGCCCACTGGACCATCATGCAAAAAAAAAAACCTGTCACAGCCCACGTACACAGCATATGCAACAGACGAAGGCACAGCACAATGTGATGCACTTGCATCCACTCTAACTTTACTCCAGATCATGAAACAGATTAAGATTCCTACATCAGTTGCCCAAAATCAATAACCCCTTCTGTAACACTAACCCAAACAAACCTAAGAATATCAACTTTCAAGATTATATAGATAAAGTCATCATAAAAGAAAACACAGTGGTGAGAACTGAGAACTCCAAAATAAAAAAATAAAAATCTAAGAACATGGGAAACATTTTCTTTCCTTGATCCCAACCAAAAGTACAACAAAGGAACAGAAAATTTGAAGGGAAAAAAAAAATCTAACTAATGGGTCTGTGGGAGAAAAAGCAAAAGAACCTAACCTAGGCTTCTTCCATAATAATCCATACATGATGATGGTGGTGATGTGAAGCATGATGACAGAAGTGAATTAATTAACCTCCAAACTTGGTCTTCTTCTCCTTGTCCAACTTGTCAAAGAAGCCAGTGAGAGCCCTCAAGGCTTTGACTTGGTACTGCAAAGCCAGAATATAGCCAGCAGTTTCATCAAAGAGCTTGTCCACTCCAAGTGACTCACCACCAGGCACAATCCTCTGCAATGCATGAATCTTCATCTCTATCTCTTCTCTGTCATCATCACCATCTTCTTTCTCTCCATCTTCGTCTTCATCTTCATCTTCATGTTCCTTCTTATTACTCTTCTTCTTCAGCACAGGCACTTGCTCCCTCCACCTCCTGCGGCTCCTCCGGAAAACATGCAAGGACTTGTGGGAGGGGAGGGGGGAGTTGTGGTCTGGTTTTCTGAGAAATGTGGGTATCAGGGTGTCTTCTTCTTCCATGGATGATGACATGTATGTGTAATAGTAATGTGAAATGGTGAGAGAGAGAGAGAGAGAAAGAGAGAGAGATTAATGTGTGTGAAGGAGTTATATGCGAGGGAGGAAGATGTTAAATTATTGTTGAGCTCTAGAAATGTCAATGCCAAATTGCCAACGAAGCTGGTCCCACTCGTTTTGGCCAAGAACACCCCCAAGTTTTGGATGGAGATGTGCCCTCACCAACACCCTCTTCTACTTCATCAATTTTTTACCCTCCTTTAACAAATACTACACGCTTCATCCAATGCTATCAAATTATACCATCATCAATTCCTATTAATGTAAAATAATGTTTGATAACATGAAGTCACTAATCATGTATTAAGATCGATTTTAATTGTTAACTTTAAGATATTGTGTGTTTTATTTATAAATAAAAAATCTTGATAATCAATTAAAAATGATAAAATTTCACAACTTTTACGTATAATTCTTTTAGCACACATATATGGTTTTCAAATAATTAAAATTAAAGTTCAACTATCTATCAACTCTAGTATAAAACTTTAAAATTATTCTATTATTAGTTTTCCATTGCTTATTATTTTAGTAGGTATTAATAAAATTATGTTAACTAAAATATTTGTAAGAAACCAGACAATTGACATATTTTTGTGGATTTGAGATGTTATTACAAGGTCACGGGGGAGTGGCATTAGCACAAATGAGATATTTATGGTCATTTGTAACATGCTAAACACATGCAGGAAGGTAATGATGCATAAAATATCTATTGGCACTAGATTTTAAGGATTCTTAGCTAGTAAGATTCAAATGAGAGACAGAGGGGGTAAAAGTGAAAGGTATAAAGTTTACAAGTGTGACTGAAAATGCAATGCAACCCCGTTGAGGAGTGAGAGCATAAAAAAATGGTCCCACAGGACACAAAACAAAGGGGAGAAAGCACATGTGCTCACATGAATTCCTTGAACCTAACACCCACCCATGTGCCTCTCCACTCTCTTCTCTTTCATATGCCATATGATCTGCATCACCACCCTTCGCATGACTGCCACGTGTTTACTTTCCAGTGACCCCACCTTGAGCCCCACAAAACCCCCTTTTAGGCCAAATTAATCATGCATCACCCATATTAAATTAACAGGTAGGGATTTTAAGGAAATCAAATACTCTTTGCTTAGCTAATTTTGGACAACTTGGTTTTCTGGATAAACAAGTTAACTTCGCATTTAAGCGCCATTATCGTATAAAATACTATGTCACTCACTTAATTAAATACAAAACACAAGAAGCATGACTACAGTATGTTTATTAAATGATTGATTATGTCGTATCCATAATAATAAATGCCTGTATGAAAATCAATTATCTGAAATGAAAGGTATCAACTGCCTTCAATTAATGATAGTTTTTTTCTTCCCCAGAGATCATAAATTTCACAGAACACCCAAAAATAAAAATTGGGTCATTATGATTAAAATAAAATTTTTAAATAACCTTATTACTGATGCCATATTCTAATATCTATGAACTTTATACTAATATTTGTCAAAAAAGTTATGACACTTCAGTATACTTTACTTTCTCAACTAAGATTTTTTCAAATTCTCATAAGTATGATAGATATTTTTTTTAAAATTTTAGAATTAGAAATTTATTTTGAATACAAATACAAATTATCAATAATGACATATAAGAATTTTTAGCTAAATTTTGTGCATATATAAATAGATAAAATTTTTGAGATGCAGTGGGGTTGTAATTTTGATGATATGGAGTAATAGTAGTAAAGATGATTGATGTTTGTTAATTTGGAAGTGATTGGGATTGCAGCTTTATTGAGTAATTAGTGATGGTGTGGCCCTGAGAGAGTGTGGTGGAGAATCAGAGAGGGGAGGTGGTGGTGTTTCCAAGAAGGAAACCAATCGGCGGATTGGGTCATTGGGATTGTATGAGAGATTTCCTTGTGTTGGGCATATGGGACTCCATGTGCTCAGACCCACTCGGATCCCTCCCTTCTTGTCACATTCACACACTACACCTCCCTTTTAATTTAATACCACACATTTTTTTCAATCCCTCATAATTTACCCTTTTTCCTATTTTATTTTCTTCCAGGGCTAATGGGGTCCGTACCACCATTTCTTGTACCAAAATTTAATCAAATTGTGTTACATAGGGCCTTGGCATATATCATTGATGAGAGAGCTCTTATAATTCACCATCATACATCTAATCTAACTGCAAAAGTCTTGTTTCTGTTCACATTTTAGTGCAGACCTTGTTTCTCGGTTATCTGTTCGTTCTTGCTCTTGTTTGGACATATTAACATCTCCAAAATCATCTTAACCAATGTCTCACATGGTAGGCCTCTAGGGATACCTAATGACATGTTTCCATTATGTTCCCTCCTTGGCCATTACATGGAACATTACGAGGACATAGGTAAAAAGTAAAGAATACATACAATAAATGTTTTACGTGTTTCATCTTGAATATTAACTACCAAACATGTTGAATAACTAGCATGCTTATGATTGTTTGAATTTAATTAGTAGTCGCAAGTTATAATTCTGAATATATAATAGTTACATTAAATATTTAGAAGAACATCGTTATCTACAATAATTATACTAAGATTAAAACATGATTATCTACAATAAACAATACATGTAGTATTGTACCCAAGAAAAATTGTGAATATTAACTAATATTTAGTTTATTTAACCATATTGTGAATGATGATAACCAAAAACATAGAATTGATCATTAATTAAAGAAAATTCTGTGAATATAAATGAACTAGGTTGGCCATGGCACCACAAAGGTTCAAACAAGGAAAGGGAGGTTTTGTCATCAATTTTAAGGATATGTAGGGAAA